CACCCCCCCTTTCGTACCCCACCGTCCCCCCTTGATATTATCACTCGTTATTATCTGTAACACGCTCGTTATGACCTTCCGATCGTTCCGCCGTCGCGTCGCACAATGGGTCGATTCAATAAGAGAGGTCGGACAAATTTCGGAAACTTTTGACGCTGATAACTCCGTTTATACAATTTTTTAGGTTCTCTAAGTGGTTTCATTGGTTTTCTCGTAAAATTTTCTGCTAGTTGCACCCCTTGAAGTTTAAAATGTGACAAAACAAACATTAAAATTTGCAGTTTTAGTCAAAACCCCCCCCCCCCTTGATATTATCACTCGTTATTATCTGTAACACGCTCGTTATGACCTTCTGATCGTTCCGCCGTCGCGTCGCACAATGGGTCGATTCAATAAGAGAGGTTGGACAAAATTTTGGAAATTTTTAACGCTGATAACTCCGTTTAAACACAACTTTGAGGTTCTCAAAGTGGTTTCATTGGTTTCCTCGTAAAATTTTCTACCAGAAGTACCTCTTGAAGTTTAAACTGTGACGATACAATCATTAAAATTTGCAGTTTTAGTCAAAAATTTAATGTCCGAACTCTCTAATGGACTCGGTCCACTGTGCGTCGGCGGAAAATCTGGAGCGCCAGTCACTCGCCGCCCCGTTTTCACTTTCAGCAGAATGACTTCCTATCCTGACCTGTACAAGTGGTTCCCCCTTTTCCGGTTTCCTTTTAGATAGAACACCTTCACAACGAGAGGCTAAGTAACATTTTTTAACGGAAAAATTGCGATGATTTGATATTAATTTGCGACTTTTAACGATTTTTTTGGCGATAAAGTCACTAGAATCATCAGCATCGGAGTGTTTGAAATGAAAAAGTTGTGCTTTTTGGAAATTAAGTTGCGACTTTTAAACGATTTTTTGGCGATGAAATCGCGACGATCATCAACATCTGAGTATCTGGCATTCATCAAAGGAAATATATCGATATTTTGAAATCAAGTTGATAATTTTTAACGATATTTTGGTGATAAAGTCGCTGGAATCATCAACAGCTGAACGATTATCTTCGATTTTGTCGCAATTGTATCTCTTTCAAATCGCGTTCGATAAAATCGAAATTTTATTTAGCTCTCGTTCGAGAGCAGTGAGTAAAAAATTAAGTTCTGAAGAAGAAACCTATTACTGATCGACTGATGGAAATTGGATCAAATTAGCCCTCCATTTTTCGTAGATTTTTCATTAATCATCTGAAACACCATTATTCGTCATCTGAGTAGTAGAAAATCGACGGATTTTGCCTATTGTTGTATAAAAGAAAGAACTTATTCATTTTAAGTTCGGCAGACTTTGTCTCATCTGCATACTTGCTCACATATTTTTTCAATAGATAACGTACCAATTGTAAATGTAGACGTTGGTAAAGTGAACAAAAGAGTAAGGAGAAGAGGATAAACCAAAAACAAACGAACTAAATAAATGAAAAAAACTGAGAGAATAAGAAATAAATACTGGTTTTATATTAAGTATATTTACATTTAAAAAAAAGTGATTAAAATGTGTCTTAAATTAAGCCGTATCTAAAATTAGAGTCATTAATATTGGGGTACGATGGTATAGAGATTAAAGGGCTTGGGTGCATCACATAGGCTTAAATGTAGGACAAACGGGAGTGATTCCAAAACTTTTGAAATTCCAAAGGAAGGCAGGACGTGGAATGAAAAAGTTGTCATAAATTTTGGCATCTACAGGGCGAACAGAGGCTGTGGGGGAACAGAAGTTGTAACATGCATTAAAAATAATAAAATAAAATAAAACTTAAATTCATACAAGGAAATGACTAGGCAAGAAGAAAAATTTCAAGGATGATAGCCTCTTTAGTAAGCCTAGAATCTAGTTCTACCTACTGTCTAGGCTCTACTTACTATGGCTAAAAAAACTGCCTAGGCATTTGACAAAATGCCTGATTTCACTATTTGCCTGCGACATATTTACGACCAATTGAAGATTATCGCAATATTTGATTTGTTCACTTATTTTCTAATATATTTCAAGTTTCATCATGCCCTCTAACGCACGTCAACATTCAAGTTCAGTTACATGTACATTGTGCCCGATGTTCAGAACCGTCAGAGGCTTTCAATTTGTTTGACTGAACTTTTCTCGGGTTTTTGTAAGCACCAGAGAGAAAAGAACACAAAAAGACGACAATACGCTCTCGCACCAGAGAGAAACCGATTTTCCGAAGCTATTTGCATTCGTAAATGGGCCTTATCTCGTCTTCTTTTCTTCCATTTCCTCATTCACAGCTTCTCAAAAGACGTTAAAGACTTGCTATTTCGACGTTAAAAAGTGCATTTATGCACCCTGCAACAGTTTCATGACCGCAATAACGAGGGGTTGTGAGAGAAATCGTCGCCCCTTTGACGTAAGAGCGCATCTCGATTTCCACGTGAACCCTGTTTTCTATATGACTCTACGCTTTCCACGGCTCATGTGAAAATCACGTCACGTCCTTACGTCAGAGGAGTGACGAATGAGGATTGAGGGAGAAGAGAAAAAGCATAAAAGTTGCAGGGAGTTGCCACACGATAAGGAACCGTTTTATAAATTCTCTTTATTGAGTACCTAACCATTTTTGCATGTTTTTTACGTCACGTTCTTTGCCGGTTTCGGTTTTAAACACAACTAATCGCACTTTATCTATCTTTTTCTTTTAGTTCAATGATTTTCTCCATGTTAGACTAAAAAAGGATTCTAAAAAAAGCCATAGAGAAAAAAATGAGATGGACGCATTTCGAGCATCTTGGATTTTGTCCATGACGTTGGTAGGTACAGACGCCTTTTGTCATCAATTTTTGTAAATTTTATGGAAAAAGTCATTCTACAAAGTGTTTGAAATTATAATTTGAGTTGAAATAAGCAAAATAAACTGAGGTTTTAGTCCGCTTTTCATACTTGAATTTTGGATTTTGCTGAAAAATCGACGTCATATTGTACCTACTTACGTTACGGGGTAACAAACCCTCAAAATGTGCGACCACCTCCTTCTGTTTCTATAAGTCAGAACGCGATTTTCTGACGCTGAATAGACCCATTGTAACCACTTCATATCAAACAGTGTCTCGTTGCGTTTCTAGACCCTGATTAAAATATCTTGAGGATTATCCTAGGTTTTTTTTTTTTGTAAATAATGCAACATAGAATAAAAGGAGGTCAAGTTGTTCTTTACTGTGAGCCGCACAGGATGCGATGGAGTGGAAAACCTTTCGTCTGTTTTAAGTTGCACTTTTACATTAACTCAACACCCGACTCCCGCTAACAGGTTTCCGCATTTGTAAGTTTTGCGTTCAAGTCGCATTTATTAATTCAATTTACGACGCGAACAATGAAAACAATTTAAACGGTTTTAAAGCAAGCTCGGGAAGCATTTTAGGAAGCTGCATGAAAGTTCGCAGCGCATTTTATGCTCACTATCCGACGGTCTTTCCGAAGGGCTCTCCATTTTTACTCGGCTGAAACATCAAGCGATTCTATAAATATTTATATTCCGCGAATAAAGTATTTCAACTTCATACAAAAAGTTATCAACCAACTTTCTTTACTTAGTCCAAGAGTTAGACCGGTGCACCAGAATATAGGCTGAAACCTGATTTGAATCGGACATTTTAACCCCCTCATAAAAAATAAGTGATCAAGAATGAAAAATTCAGATATTTTAGAATTTTTTCCAGAAATTTTAAGATATTTTTGATTAAATTGCGCACGAAATTGTCTGAAAATTTTGGGGAACAGTATTCATAATTTTCCCTGTAAATTCGGTCTTTATCGAAGGAAATTTATCAACGTCTGAAGGCTCATACGGCGTTCTTCCTTAGCACGGCAGAAAAGCCTAGTATGAAGGTCTATTTGACAGTACACGAACGAGGCTCATCAAAAAAAAGTCACAACCACCAGGCACTTTCAATTACTCACCTACACCGATTCGGACCATCAATCAACGAAATACACAATCCGCGATCTTCACCGGTCATCGCATCCATATTGAGGTATATTTTCGGAAATAATCCCTCTGTAATAAATTCCATGGAACCATTCACATCTCGATTATTCCAACTCTTTGTCTCTGTGCGGACAAATAACTGCACTGATGAAACCGACCTCAAGCTTTCGAACGTGATGGGCACGGTGTCTCACGGATTGAGAGCCCGATTGATGGAGTTTTATTTTTTACCCCGACGCACAATGGGAAAGTTTGGACAGGATGCGAACCGGACATTTTTGAGAGTTGAGGTCGCTCTCTCACCAGCCGACTGATAATTGCAATGGAGAATTTGCATGCAAATTGTTTATTGCTTCGTCTGAAAGTGCTTAAAGAGCTGATTTCGCAGCATCTTTTATGATTTTTTTCTGAAATGGCAGACGGTATAAAAATAGATTTAAAAGTAAAGAAATGCACTGCCTAGTGGCGCCATCTGGCGGCATTTCCCATTTAAACACACGCATTTTAGCAGATTGGAGCATTTTATCATATCTTCTCCCATCATTGTTCAATTCATGAACCGAGGGTCTCCTCGTGTTCAGTTCACTCAGTAGATTCCACTTAAACACGAAATTCATCAAATTTCAGACACCTGCAAATTCTCTATTGATAGACAAAGCGACAGACAAAGAAGACTGAGGGAGTATGGAGCGATCCTATTGGTTGAACAGGTTGATTACTATAGATTAAGGAGAAATTGATGGACAAACTATCGGGTCTATCGTAGGTTGCCGTTAGTTAGTCTACTACTTATCTCTTATGTCCATTACAACCACCCGCTTCCACCAATAGAATCCCTCCATATCCCTTTTGTCATCTTTGTCTACAGCTTTCCCTATCAATTTCAACCAACAGCCCGCAGTTTTGGACGAAATTTTCATGTATGACTTCTCACATTGGCTTTTTCCACTGTGCGACCCGACAGAGGAAAGAGGATCAAGGTTTTATCTATTATTATCATCGATTATAACCATGCGGTCATCCCTGAATTGATGCGTCATTCTTGTTCGTCGCATTTTCCGTAATTAAATCCCTGGGACTGAGCCCACGCAATACTAATTGATATGACGATTTTTCCCTCACTCTTGCCTCCCCTCTTCCCTTCTTTCTCCCTCTCTCTCTCCCTCCCTCTCTCTTACCCTGCCTCTTTTTTCTATCAATTTGATGAATGGTTCTCGATCACAATGACGTTTCAGCAGAGTTTTTTCGAATCTATTCTTTGCGAGATAGAGTCGTACTTTAATCTGAGACAATCAGAAACGGGGAAAAAATCAACTAAAATGTTTTAAAATTTTGCAAATTTATGACCGGATCTGTCAAAACGTCCTTACCCTCTGAGAGAACATTTTCCTTTGGTTTTTGCTAACACCTAGAAAACGTGTTTTCACGACCTAAATATTTTTACCTTGGAACTTCAGAACTATTATCTCCTTCGATGTTTGGGATTTTAGGGTCAAAACCACACCAACAGTAGCAGATTTTCTCTCTTCATGCGTTTGTAAAAAGTAAAGGAACATGTTCTCACGGTAGATTTGGTTCCTTTTCACAAATTCTGTCACATTTTACCGCGAAATTTAATTCACCGTTTATTAGGTTTTCGAAAATTGGCATTTTCGCTTTCAATCGTATAAAAACATTCTCTTGAAAGAAGCAGTGGTGAAGAGTGAATAATCGAGAATAAATATTTCCCTATTTGAAGCTAGGGTAATGGATCGATTATTGAGGTGTTCGTTGCAAACACCCTGTTTATCGATCCTTTTTCATAGGTTTGAATGACAGATCAATCGATGAATCGCAAAGCACGCCACGCCTTTGGAGACAAGAAAGAGAGAAACCTTGTGCGTAAAAACCGACGAAAATTTAAAACTATTAAATATCCATTTACGTGTACAGTCAAGCGTAGACCACAGCATAGACCGTTCATAATTTACAAAGATAATTTAGGAATTTAGGAGAGAGGATTTATTTACAGAGAATCCGAATTCCGAACCTTAAATTCAAGTGACCTGTAAAAGTAGGTAGTGCGTAAAGAGTTCGTGCTTTCAGTGTGATGATATAAAGTAAAAAAGGAATTTTCATGCGGGAATATACTTACTCTGTTTCGCTCCTCATTTTTGTACTTATTGTAGTCATTGTAATGAAGCTGAAGGTAATCTAGATTGAATTGAATATCTTGCAAAAACGAGATTGCTTCCTCTCGTGTCATCTGTAAGTAGAACAACAAAATCGACTCCATTAATTTACAGGAATAGATGGAATTCGTTTCAAGACCATGCTAACATTGAAAAATAAGAAACATAAAGAAAAATAAGGAAAATTAGGAAAACTAATAAATATAAAAAAATGGAAAATAAGGAAAATTAAGAAAAAGAGTAATAATAAAGAAAAAGAGTAAAAATAAAGAAAAAGAGTAAAAATAAAGAAAAAAATTAAAAATAAAGAAAAAGAGTAAAAATAAAGAAAAACAAGCAGTGAACTCCAACACAATGTGTTGATAAGGCGCGTCATTAACTCGCACATATCAACCCCTTTAGTTTTCATTTACAGAGATTTCAAAATAGGCAAACAGCATAAAAAGAGAATTCACGATCCAACACTGCGAGGTCAAAGACGCACCTTGACGAGACCGTGTATTGTGAAAGTAGAAAGCTATTCGATCGAATTTAAGTTTTTTGATCTGCCTCAAGCAAAATCTTATCAGATTCTTGAAGAAAAGTGCTACGGAATAATTTAAGCGAAGAAAGGAAAAATTCTGTCGAACTCCTAGAAGATAAAGTCGATTTAAAGGTATTTTGGGGCTAAAATACCCAAATCACCGGTAGTAAAAATCCCGTTATATTATTGAAAAGAAATTGACTCGATATAAATGCAATTGCATTAAATACGTCTTGATTTTGTTATTTTAAACGTCTTTCCATGCAAAGAAGTTCAACCATGTCGTTGCTTTATTCATTCATGAATTGAAAGTAAGCAATCTACATCCCGAAAATCTACTGATTTGCCGTAAAAAATTGCAGAAACTTGATATACCAGGTCGATGCACCCACTCGTTGAATTTACCAACCAATTTTGTGAGTGCAAATGTGTAAGAATCAATATGCTATAGTCATTTTGGGTGCATTTATTTTTCATGAAACAATAATAATTTCAATCCCGAAAAACCATCAATTTTCCGTATAAAATCGAAAAAATCAAAATATGTCAACTCCCCGACGTGAAAATTAGATTCTACGTATGTAAAATGTAAATACTTATGTATCGATATGCTGAACAGAACTATGTGTGGACAGTCAGAAGCCCGCGGCAACATTAATTCAACAGAAAAACTGTAAAAATTAGATAGGATTTTAGCCGCTTTGCCCGCCTCTCCTCGCTACTTACAACAAACCGTTCTTATACTCATCTCAAAATTTTTCTCAGAGCTTTGGGTTATTATCAGCTTCCATTTAAACTCCGGTTCGATGGCCGAATCGGCTGCCAAAAAAGCAAGCCACTGTTGAGGGGTTCTATGAGAAATTCGTGATATTATCGGCTCTCAGGAAATCACCCCATGGCTAAAATTGGTGGTATAAATGTTTAAGTGCTTAAAATAATCGTATTCAAGAAACTAAGGAATTAAACTATGGAGTCAATTTCTTTTTAATAATATAACGAATTTACTACCGGTGATTTAGCTATTATAGCCCCAGAATACTTTTAAAGCGCCTTTGCGTTCCAGAATCTCGACGGAATTTTTTTTTTTTTTTTTTTTGCTTAAACGATTCAAGAAACATTGTAGTTAAAAATATAAAGATTTTTCGATTTGGACGTATGAAAAATGTTTAACTCGTTCAGGCACACCGTGTATTGTATGGAGTACTGCTGTTATTCGACCGTTGTCTTCAGGTCAAAATTCTTACAAAGAAGCCCCTTGCAAGAGGCAAATTTTTTGTAATTTCTCCCAGTTTTTTCAGCGTTAGGTATATAAATGAATTGTTTGTCAAATTTTGAGGTCAATTATATTTAATTGTAATTTATACTTTCTTTTTTTCCCCTTCATTTTATTTTTCGTATCGAGGAGTCGAGGTTTTGTTGATTTCTTCGGATTTCGATTACTGTAACTTCTCTTCTATTCGGCCGATTTTTATGAATGAGGTCTCTTTTTATTTGTGTTTTAACGGAGAGTAAGGAAAAAATTGCTAAATACATGCGAAACAATTTTTTTTGAAAATTGGATGAATCCTAGCGTGACGGTGAAATGGTTAATGAAGCGTGAGTAATTGGGGTACGGGTATCGGCCGCGTTGGGACCCAAGGCCCATTGTTCTTCGTGACGCCGACGCAGTGATCAGGAGCGTGGGGACGAGAGGGCTTAGTGGACTCCTGTATGAGCCACGTTTAGCAAATGGTCTAATGAGTCTCGAGGCTCATCACAGATTGCACTTACCACTATCCTGGTGGCCCCGGCTATCAGAGCAAGGAGTACCAACTTTTGAAAAGGATAACAGTGTTGTGGAGATATGTCAAAGCAACGTTGTGAACAAAACGGAGTGAGTGAAATTCTCATTCAAGGAGTGCCGAACTGGTCAGCCATCCTCGAATCAGTTCGCTTGCTTCCGCTTATATATGCATATTTTAAATCAGCGCGCCCCATTCTAAGGTTTTTTTAAAAAAAACCAAGAAACGTAGACTCTTGGTATTCATTACACATAAACTAGCGAGCCCCAGAATGAGAAACAAATTTTAATCATTATTATTGACGGATTAGTAAACTTTTTACACGCTTTGGAAAATCTCAGAAGTTCGCGGTAGTCACTTTTCGGTAAGGAACTAGGGGACTCGGTTATTGTATCGAGGGGGGGGTCGAAACGATCGCAAAGGCGGTATACTACGTATACGCGCCAAAAGTAAAAATAAAGAAAGAGGAAAAATGAAGAAAAAAAAGAAGAAATGGAGGGGGAGAATATGAAGAGGAATAATGAGAAAAGGAAGCATTTGAAGAAAAATAAGAAGAGGACGTAAAAAAGACACGAAGGGTCACACAAACTTACCAATCCTTGTTTTAGGTATTCTTCAACAGCCATTGTGACTCCTTTCTCATCGCCTGTCCAGAATACATACTCAGCAACATCCAGAGGTGAGTATTGCGCATTCAAAGGTAATGGAGTCTTAGTAAAACCATCCATTTGTGACAGAGGGAACTAAAACAAACAAATTAGAAAAATATACATTAGAGTTTACAAGGGACGAATAACACTCCTCTGTCTAACGAGAGGGTGTCTAAAACTGGAAAGTGAAGATGCCCCTGCTGTCCTCAGATTTGGTTCACCAGTTTTAAGCTCTCTTAAGCTGTTTGCGAATACAAATACGGTCCTGAAAGGATTGACACGAGTTGTGGCGTGCTTTGCGATATATCGATTAATCTACTATTTAAACATATGGAAAAAGATCGATAAACAGGATGTTCGCAACGAACACCTTGAGAATCGATTCTTCACCTCAGTTTCAAACGGAGAAATATCGATAGTCGATCATTCACGCCTCGCAGCTATCTTCTAACGTAGGTTACTCTAGCTCTAACAATGGCGGAATGTAAGTTCTGTGGTTGTAACTCAAGTTCAATTAAAGTGCTGCCGTGAAGAACACCGTATGAACATTTGAGAGTTGTCAAATTTCCCTAGATAAAACATGTATTTTTGACAACATTCGTGCATATTTTCCTTGAAATGGAGATGTTGCATGTGTGAGGGATTTGCGATTTGATCATTGATTCTTATGTAAAAAATCGCGAGAAACACGATGGTGCCACTGGTTTTCTCTAAAATCAACTCCCAAGCTCAAAAAAAGCTCTCAAAGTTGAGGTGAAAATGGCCGGGGACATCTCACGCTATCCTGAGAGGGCTGCCACTTTATTTGGGGACTCCAAATCCAAAAACACGGCAACCCTGCTAATGTATTTGCTCCCTATCTTTGCATGGAGAGTTCGTTTTGATGTAGAGGTGGACTCTCAGGATAGCGTGGGATATCCCCTCTATTACGCCGTCAACTTTGAGAGCTTTTCTTGAGCTTGGGAGTTGATTTCAGGGAAAACCAGTGGCACCATTATGTTTCTCGCGAACTTTTACATAAAAATCAGTAGTCAAATCGCTAATTCCTCACGCATGTGCAACATCTCCATTCTCAGATATTTTAGATTAAATTGCGTACATAATTGTCTGAAAGCTTTGGAAAATGATATTCACAATTTTCCCAGGAGGGAAACTTTTTCGGAGGGAACTTGGCATCGTTCTTAGGCTCATATATTGTTCTTCCTCAGCACGGCGGAGTAGGTATCAGACGTAGGTTCCCAACGGAGGAGTAAATATCGGAAAGGTAACGGGTGGGACGATCACTCTTGAACCCCATTGACCAAAGTCGAAAGAAAAACGGTCGTCGGTTTCGGTGAGCTGTAATCCCTCCTCTCGAAGCTTAACTACATCGCGGGAATCGCGGAGTGCGAGATGTGTCTGAAGGTGGCGGCTGATAAGTATCCTTCAAACACCGACTCCACTCAGACCACTCGTGGGTTTTACTTTCTGGATTTCTCGACGGATGCCCGACAATTGAGCTTCAGCGGAATTTTCCTTGCTTTGCGATTGATTCACTTTGGCTCTCCGAATTTTGGTAGAGTCCCTTTATACCCAGAGTTACGACAACTCACTTTTGGTTGGGCTGAAAGTGGCCTATGAAAAATCCAATTCTGATTGGTTCTCGCTCATGGAGTCACAACCAAGTGCACCAAGATGGCGGTAACTCGAATGTGAACAAAAATAAGAAAAATATTACCTAATTGTGGTTTATCAAGAGTAAATTGTTATTTCTATCGGTCCAAAATGAAAATAGATTAAGCAATTATTCACAAACCAATCTCATTTTCTTTTTAATTGATCATATTTGTTGATAGTGTTGTTTTGGGATGACAGACATCGCAGAATTGCTTATCCTTATCCCTCAATATCGTTCGTTTGGGTGCACTCGTTTGTGCCATCATGGCCAGCCAAGGCCGGCTGCCAGTCAGCTGATAATCGAGTTGTCTTAACTCTGGGTATAAAGGGACTCTAAATTTTGGCACTTAGGACTGAGAATCTTGACTTCAGTTCCACAGATCACCTGAATTTTGTGGGACATTACCGTGTGGACTTAATGATGCTTTTGCAAAAAATTGGTAAAAAAGAAATACAAGCGATTGAAATGGGCCCATTGCATACTTCAGCCAGAGCAGAAAGTGGAGTTGTTTCTTTTAGAAAATGGCTCAAAAATCACAATGAATGCATCAGGAAAGTCTGATATTCGCTCCTAATTCCACAATCTACGCACGAAATACCTATACGTTCTTTTAAGCTTCCCGCTTTAAAAACGATATCATGGCACAGATGAACACGCGAGGAGTTGTTCCGTCCAACCCTTGGACCGCTACACAAGATAAGAATTTAAGCAATCTGATACATGTTTCCAAACCAGAATTTCACTTCGAACGAAAATTACTGAAACCAACTCCTAACGAAGATATGAAAGTTTTCATTTCACATTGGTTACGAGGAAACTGCCCGCTCACATGAAACTCAAAGCTCCACACGAGTCAAATCGCGCACTAACGGTTTCAGCAAGCTCCTCAATCGAGCTATGTTCATCTCCCACCATATGTTGTTCAAACTGTTAGCAATTTGCTATAGCTGAGCCAAAGCGTCAAAATTGAGGTTGCAAGATTTTTATATCGCAGAGACTGTCATGATAAACGTTTAGCATGCGATGTGAATCACGCAGAGCATTGAGTTTTCATGAGCGGGTGGTTTGAATTCACGCATCAGGAATCATTAAATATCTTTGGAAGGAATTAATTTCGGTAATTTTCGTTGTGCGCATCGTGTTTTACGTGAAATTTTGGTTAAGAATCATGTATCAGAATGCTGAAATTCGTACCTTGTCTAGTGGTCCATCACTCTTAAATAAGCGCTTCAATCTATGGAATGCCGATGCCTTCCGAAAACGCCTTCAATTGAACGAGTAGGCAAAACGAATCCTACTAGTACGAATAGTGGCATCCACTCGATTGTATGCACTGCCAGGACTTCGCAGTAAAAATCAGAATGCTGAAATTCGTACCTTGTCTAGTGATCCCTTGAAACCTTTTTGCAGAAAACAAGGCTCCAATTAGAACGTTTCCTCTTCAATGACCCTGGTGATATCCGTTCACTGCTTCACTGAAGCTGAAATCTCACGCACGAGTAGCAAGAAATTCAGAGAAAAAAAGGGGTGGTGCTAGTCAGGGTGGGGGTGGAGAGACCTTGCCGGAAAGGCTCAATCTTCGATGAAAATAATATCCGGGAGCCGCTGAGATAGATTATCTGGGGACCGAACCCATCACCATTAAAATTCCACTCCGCGCCGCGCTCGGTAGGCAACCTGCCGGGTCTCGCTATTCATGAAATTTCGGCTCTTCATTGTGCTAAGGCCCCGGATCAGTTTAATGACCTCCTGAGCTCAGTTTAAAAGGCTCGACGTGAAAGCGTGAGGTGAAGATTGTAAGGGGCTGTGTTGGCGTGGATTTAGTCCTAATGGTATGCCACTTTACCTATACACCGCTGCGCGGTTAAGCTATCGTTCATTTCCCCTGTTATGCGATGTGAACGGCATTTTTCTAAAAATACACGAGAAAAAATTGAATGTTCCTTCAGCATTTATAGTGTTGAAAAAATATGCGACAAGTACAAATGCTGATTTTACAATTAAAAACATGCTGGGTTAACTACTTCCACGGTTAAGTGAACACATTCAATGTTGAGTCAGGCATTTTTTTAATGTAAAATCAGCATTTGATACTTGTTGCACATTTCTTAACAGTATAAACGCTACATCAACATTCAATTTTTTTCTGTGTGACACAGTTTTTTGACTTGTTTTAAAATCTAAGTATCGATTACTAAACTTGCCGTTCGGATATAAGAATGAACGGAGTTACATTCTCAAGAAAAATAAGTTATAAGAGATTTTAAACTGAACAAGTGTACCACATTGTGGTGCTACCACATACTCCTGCCAAAAATCAATGCCCATCAATAATTTATAATGTTCTAACTATGGACCTTTAGTTAACTTTTCATTGAGTAGGAGAATAATCTCTGTTTTTACGAGTATTTTAACTGAATGTGGCTAGGATCCACTTTTCTTAAAAAAAGTCGACGTTGAGTTAGGTGTGGGTATCAATGCCACGAGAGAGAATCATGCCTAACTAGGTAAATCATACGTTGCGAAAAACATGCGTAAACAAGGCTAAACTTTCGAAATAACACCATGAAGGCTAAGCGTTTCGCGGCGACGTTGCAGAGCTGCAAAAAAATTAAAATCGATAAAAAATTGAGTGGCGGCCTGATCTCAGTTTTTATTACGCAAGCAACCACCACTAATTTGTTCTCATTTTTTCTGTTAGTGCAACAAGATTGAGCCTGTGACAGCTGAAAACGTTCTGCTCCATCGTTTTTTTTGTTTTTTTTTTCTGTTTTAAATGATAGGCCTGTTTTTCTGTTTTGTATTTTAGCCTTGTGTACCCGTGTTTATAGTTTTCATCTCATACAAATCTTTTTTTTCGGACTGATAATTTGCTCACCTTCTCCAGCAACGTCAGAGAAAAGAGAGGGTCCTAAGAACATGGAACAAAAAACGCTTGAAAACTAAGTTCCATACCGCCCGTACCGTTCGGGTTAACCGACTCTGGTAAAAATTGATAGTAGGATCTGGGTTCCAAAATACGATAGACCTACAGCCAGCTGTAAGATTTACTACAGCTGTTATAGCCGCGGCTATACAATGCAATTTCTTATAGCCTTTTATAGCCGATGGCGAAAAAGCTACAAGCCCGATAAAGTGTATAGCCTGGCTGTATGATTTTCTATCGCATTCCATAGACGGCTATAAAAATTCCCATGGTATTTTGAAACGCAGCTCCTATGGCCAATTTTTTACCACGGGAGTATTTTCTTTATTTTACTTATTTTTTATTATTATTTGTTAAACTTTTCAGTAATATCCGTCTTACCTGTGTGTCGTCACCCTCGAATCTGTTGAGGGACGCGGGCGAGATGACCCGTCGTTTAGTGGTCGTGGCTTTGGCGGGGAGGTTGGCCAAGTTGAGGTTCTTCTCTCCGGGCTCCGAGCTGAAGACCCTGTGGATCCCTTTCGAAGGGATGTCCACCGCGGTGAGGACGTGCGTGTTCGGGGACCCCGCCTTCGGGTCCTCCTTTGCGTCCACCTTCTGCTCCACCTTCGCGAACATCTCACCATTCTTGTTCACTGCAACATCAAAGAAACCATTCCGTGAGGATTAAGGCGTATAGATATGGACGAATGTGATATCGATGGCAAAGTGCGAAACCACGTATCTCAATTGAATTAGTGAGTTCGAAAACACACCGACTTGGGTTTTTTTTCCGATTTTCACTCTTTTACGGTTTAGTAACACTTATGGATAGAAGCGTCTGCACACGAAATTGCAATCGGAAGTGCTCGAAACAGCAACAAGAAAAGGGAAAAATCAAAGTATTTTATTGGAAATACCAATTTTTGGCCATTTCAAGGGAAACGGGTGACCATTCCATCTTGCGGTTTTCTTTTTTCGGTTCAGTATACCTTGTACCAACAAGTTATATAAATATTCAAGCGTTATTCAGGTCGAAAAATATAAATTTTTCACGGCAGACTAAGGAAAATCAGTATCTAAAAGTCGGTGAGAACGAAAGCACACCAACTCGGAAATTTTTAAACGCTTAATTCTCTGTCATCACGCATGGTGTATCGATTTCAACTTGGTGCTTTACAAAATCTCTAAGTACTTGTCCTTCGGCACCAAAAAGGTTTTTCTTAAACTAACTTCTTCGCCTTCTGCGCAGTTTTAGGTGTTTCCTGAACAATTTTTTTTCCGAGTAGGTGTGTTTTCGAACTCACTGATTCAATTACGGTGTTTCAAAATTACCGCCTCTATTTAATTTTCAAAAGAGACGCAAGCTGGTTTGCAACATTGTAGAAATCCTGTCGGACACTACTTTCATACGGAAAACTACTTAACGGCGATTTTTAAAATCTGCCTTAATTTTTCTCCTCTGCCCGAATAAACTCTGTGAAAAATTCAAGGATTGATGCTGATTTGTTCACTTGTAAAAAAATAAAATTAAAGCGCGGATTTTTTAACACCGCAAACGAGATATGTGGTTCGGGAGTCTCACCATCGATAATGTAAGGAGAATCCCCTCTCTAAAGAGGAGGAACAAACAAACCCCACGATATTTCCCCCGATCCACACGTTTACGGAGATATCTATCGTGTGGTTCATTACCCTTGGGCGGCTCCGATGCACGCGCCGAACAGTGGATCGAGACAGTTAAAGAGATCGGACAAAATTTGGAAACTTTAAGCACTTATAACTCCGTTTATGAAAATCTTTGAGGTTCTGAAAGTGTTTTCATTGGTTCTCTCGTAAAATGTTCTTCAAGTAGCACCTCTTGGACTTTAAAATGTGACGGAATAAACATCAAAATTCGCAGTTTTTGTCAAAAATTTCATGTCCGACCTTTCTGATTTACTCAATCCATTGTGCGCCGCATGCATACATAAAAAATAAGCTGCCCGTCATACGTCACGCGTCATGCACGAAGTGAAATAGCCCCCTCAATCACGTTGAATGAATCGAGACGCTAGCCAATCCAAGCAGTTCGAGCTGGAAGGATCGAAGCACAGAACGCGGAAATCTCACGGCTCAATGCTCCGCTCTATCATATTTCTTCCTCCCATTGAGAAAGAGAAATATCAGCGGCGTGACGTGAAATGCGATGTATCGATTGATATGCCATTTAAACCTATGGTAAAGAATCGATTATAAAGGTGTTCGCTGCGAACATCCTGTTTATCGAACTTTTTCCGTAGGTTTAAATGGCATAACAATCAATATCGCAGTTCTCGCCACGCCACTGAGAAATATGTCAGGAAAATCGATACGGAATTATGCGCGGGGTAAATCCAGCGTGGGACGCTATACGCTGGAAAATAGGAGCAGTGGATCCGGGGATAAGCTCCTTATGACGTCACACAATAGATGGTGGTGGCCCCGCCCTTGCAGCCGGCGTGATGTGACGAGTCAGCGTTTCTATGACTGCGTTTCCGGTCGGGTATGTCAAGGATAGTACTGCCGTACTAAGGAAGAACGCCGTATGAACATTCGAGAGTTTCCATATTTCCTTCGATAGAATGTTTATTTTTTAGGGAAGTTATAAATATTTTTCCTTTGAATTTTCAGAATCCTTAGGTAATATTGCGAACTAAATTATCTGAAAAATTGGGAGGAAAATATTCATAAATTTACCAGGAAATTCGCGTTTTATCAAAGCAAATTTGGCAACGCCTGAGGGTTTATACGGCGTTTTTTCTTAGCACGGCAGAGTAGTGCTGTCATTCACAGTAAAAAACGCCGTAACTCGACCATTCGGAATGTTATATTATTACTCCCCATATACTGCTCCATTAAAAGAAAACCTCTCTCATTTTGAGCTCCCAACAAACAGCATTTTCCGGTAAAAAAATTGGAAAATTTTGAATAGAGATTGCGGCGTTTTTAGTTTAAACGGCAGTGTCGGTGTTGACAAACCCAGAAAAATGTAGCAAACTTTTCAGAATCTTCCCTCGGGATTTTTTCAGCTGGGATAAAACTTCGCGAATGCCCCTTCTTTTACATTTTTGGACATGCATAGGATTGCGCGAATTTTTCTGGTACTAAAAACTCACATATGTATTTGCGCGAATATTCATTATTCAACGAGGAAGCGTTAATCTGGCAACCTTGGTAGTTTGTGGCAGATAGCTACATCGCGGAAGACTGTTCATTTCCTATTCATTTACGGGCATGGTCTCTCTTCGATGGACAGCCCTCGCAAAACGAATGACCCAGAGAGCTTTCGTAGACATTCAAAAAGTGAGCTAGGGGCCTCTGGCCACCAACAACCGAAAAAAAAAACCACACGTAAAAAATCGTAGAACAGCCATGTTCAAGTGTTTTAAGAGATGGATGGCTTCAAAACACGGTAATTATAATTATAAAATACTAGGTGATTACGCCCCGTGGCCGTTACCCAGTCCTCTCTTCAGAAGGTGATTCGCGGGCCGCTTCATAGTGGGTATTATTTCAAACGTTTAAAAAAAACCGGGCTGATCCAAATGCTAACACCTGCCAAAGACCACAAAAACTCTAGACTTAGGGCCAAGAGATGTTTAGAAAACTCTGCATGTGACGAATAAAAAACCTGACCTAACTTTGGAGCTCCAAAGAGTTTATACGTATATAATGGACCACTAGACAAGATACGAATTTAAGCAATCTGATTCATGTTTCTTAACCAAAATGTCACGTAGAACACGATTCACACAACGAACGAAAATTACTGAAACCGACTCCTAACGAAGATATTAACGTTTTTATTTCACATTGGTTACGAGGAATTTGAACTACCCGCTCATTTGAAATGAGAATGCATTTGACGCGCTGTGATTTGGACGTAGTTCTACCAAACAGACCTATGTGAAAGTGAGAAATATGGGGTGTGCTCGTTAGTTCTCTTGCGTAAGAGTTAATGAGAATAATAAAGCGCCAGTGACGTCAGCGGTGACGACGGGTATCCTCACGAAGGCGGGAACGTTCTTTAACTCATGAGCCCTGTCCACAAGGCTCTCTTGCCATGCCCGCGGCTCATGACTCCCGCGTTCAGTTGGCACATAGGTCTGTTTGATAGAATGCAATATCCCGCTTTTCCAATTCTTCAAAAGGAACCACGCCCACTTTTATATTGCTTCTTATGCAGATTTCTGGAGCATACCCCATATTTCTCACCGCCACATAGGTCTGTTTGGTAGAAATACGTCCAAATGTTCTTCCATTTTAATACACCATTTTGTGTTCGAGTTGCATCGATTTCAAAATTTTTGACGTAACACTCAAATTTGTAAATGATGAGGAACAGCTGGATGTACATAATTTCACAGTCCACTTACTGGAGAAATTTCCATTTATTATGTTATTTTTAAATACTTAATTTTTTTAAAAAAAAAATCCGATTTCGACCGTTGAGAGTTCATAATATTTGGTCCGTCCCGACGCGACGCAGTGCCTGCCTTCTCACTTTGTATCTGCTGTAAATATAAATAGAAATTCAGCAATCATGTAAATTGACCAATGCCACAAATCGAAGCCGGAAGAATGCGGAAAAATTGAGTTAAACCTTATACCTTGGACCTTGAACCTTGAACCCTGAACCCTGAGCGATGCACCGTTCCTCTTCGAATGAGGAGCCCTTCACGAGCTTTTCCATTGTTTTATTGTTTATTCGAGTCACTCAGGTAGAAACCCATACCTTGACGCTTCTAGCGGAAACGACATATCTCTCACGCTATTAACATTGGACTTAAGTGACATGAGCTTTAAAAGCTCTACAACATTAAAAGTTCGGGGTTTCATAATTTTTTGCACATCTACATCTATTACAGATGACATACATGTAAAGATCATCCTTATCGGTCCGGCAGTTCGGCAGAAATAGTGCTTCCAAGATTTTGCTTGTAGCTGTATAATGTATGCACATCTACATCTATTACAGATGACATACATGTAAAGATCATCCTTATCGGTCCGGCAGTTCGGCAGAAATAGTGCTTCCAAGATTTTGCTTGTAGCTGTATAATGTAGATATAATATATAATGTATAGATATGGAACGCTGCATGTGAGCGCAAGAAAAGGCAAAACGCCTTCAATTTTTGAATAGGCAATATGGGCAGCCTAGGAACACGCATAATTGTATCAAGGCGCTACATGAAGCTTTGTCTATTGAAAACCATCACTCTAACGATAAGGTCGTTCCATTCTTCCTTTGTCTTCTTTGCCTATAGCTTTGTCTATTAATTTCAATAATCAGTCTACAGTTGAGAGCCCTGCCGTCTAGTTTTTTATTTGATCCTACAGCGCAGAAAGACCAGTCCCTTGAGATCGCGGTTATTCATTTAAGCTCAGAATTTCCCGGAATACTGCCATGCTAAGAAAGAACACCGTATGGACATTCGAGAGTTGCCAAATTTCCTTCGATAAAACGTTTATTTTTGAGGAAAGTTGTAGATATTTTTCCTAGAAATGTTCAGGAACTACTGGTGAAATTGCGATCAAAATTTTCCGGAAAATTAGAGGGAAAATATTAATTAATTTACCAGAAAATTCGAGTTTTATCAATGGCAATTTGGCAACGCCTGAAGGTTCATACG